AAACTTGGTAGGCCGTCGAACTTTTAAGCGAACACGGGCTGGTTAAAACGGCTTAAGTCAAGACATGGCATTCGTGAGCTTCAAATAGGGGGAGAAAACCTGTCTGCTGATTCTTCTAAATCAATATCAAATTAAGCGGCATATTGAAACAAGAAGATTATGTTCTAGAAAACGTTTACAACCCTGATGAAATTAAATTGGGGCTCAATTGGAAGGATTTGCCACGAAAAACTCTTGTTTCGCGGCGTGAATTAGCGGCACACTGGTCTAAAGTAAGCAACGATCGTATCACTGCTCTAGCTTATGTTAAATGAAATAATTCATATTACATAGTATATTGGTACATAAAATTACACATCTCGATTATCCGTATAAACCGGTTTTTCGAACACCCATGTCCCCCAATTAATTCGGATAATCGACTTTTTTTATTCAAATTATTGTATAGTACCTATTGAAAGTAATTTTTTTATTTACCACTGGTTCGCCAAAAACCTCTATCCTGGGAAGAACCATCAAGAAACCCAGCGGGACTTTTTTTAACATATTTTAATTTACAAAAAATTTATTTTCTACAATTTTTGTACGGATTTTTATAAAACCAGCATGGTGGCGATCACCTCATTCCCAGGGGTTATTTTCATTTATGTATTCATTTATATTATAACCCTTTATTTACAATTTTTTTTAATTAAATATTTAAACTTCTTTAATGACTAATTTTGTACATTTTCTGGAATTTTGTTGTAAAGGTACGTTGTATACATTGCCCCATACATTGAATTACTAATATATACATTGAATTACTAATTCCGTGGAGTCTAGTAACTGTTATTACAAGTTTATGTTTGTGCCTAGTGTTTAAGTATGAACATCTTTATTCTTATGAAGGCTATTTATGTTTTTACGTACATACATTAGATTTTCATAAATATATTGCGATGCCAAAGTTAATATGTTTATTTTCTTAAAATTTTCTCTAAGAGACTACAATTTAAGTTATAAATCGCCCGTACGGCTATCTTTTGTAAAACAAATATGACTTCATTGTCAGTCGCATTACCCCATAGTAAGATTCCATTAGAAATTACGCTATGAAAGTAACTAAAATAATCTAATCTAGCTGTCTCAACATTGGTTAGACTTCTAATCTTTCTTGCAGCATAATATGCTGCAGAATTAAGTCTGTCTGCTAATTTAGATATGCTATAACCCCATTGAAGCTTAGCGTCAATAGTATTACAAAGAAAAACAGTGGTATCCACAAGAATCTACTCTACCCCATTTAAGAGCATATTGGTATTTGAATGTATTACATTAGGTATTGTAAATTTAATACAATTTGTCTTATTGCCATTTAAGAGCAAATTATTAGCGTTAAACCAATGTACTAGTTTCGATAGAACATTATTTACTTTGTTAAAATTGACTGTCGATTGAGTTGGAAAATTAATGACGGCGCTATATTGTATTATCATTCCTAATTAAACATAAGTCTTCCAAATTTAAAACTATATTTCTTCCGCGGCAGCAACGCGCCTGGTACCAGCTAGTATTAAATAAATTCTTTTTTGGACTCACGTACACTCCGCATACTATTGAAATAGCAATATTTAAAATTACACAGAATTCTTAGCTGATTCATCAGTCAAAATAAAGTTCTTTGGTGACAACTTAGAGTAATTACATATATGTTATGTATGCATTAAGGGAACTTACAATTCTACACAAATTGATTCAAATTACACACATCGAAAACAGTTTGCCATCAGTTTGAAAAGTCGAAATATTTTTTGATACGGTAGACTATATTATAATTTCTTCTTCTTTTTGGATTATTTACTTAAAATTATAGAAATAGAATTTATAACAATAAAACAGATTTAATTGTTTTTCCATATAAAAAGAAATTCAATACAAGCTTACGCATACTCAGAAATCTGACTAAGTCAATTTTAACGGATTTAAAATATGTTTTCGAAGAAAGTTGTGATTGAAAAAATGCCAAGAGAATTATCAGAAGTCTTACGAGCAAGAATTGTAACATTGTGGGAAGAAGGAGAAATAACACTGCGTGTTGCTACTGTATCCCAATCTTGTGTCGTGGCCACGTTACAGAGGTACCACAGCATGGACCTATCCCTCACTAGTCGCCCAACTGTCCTAACTGCTGCACCTCTGTAACCTCTATATATCAGATTGATGGCAGTCCGTGACCTAACGAACAACGCCACTACAATTAAAGCAAAAGTGCGGGCCGCCTCAGGACTTGAAGTTAGCACGCAGACCATTCGGAATGGCTTACACAAGGCTGGACTACGAACACGGAGGTCTTGGCGAGCACCACTGAATTTACGGCAACGTCAGGATGCAGTGGGCAGGCTCGGCAAAATGAAGAAGATGGGGGGGGGGGGGAACATTTGGCAAAACTGTCTTTTCGTTGACGAATCGCGAATCAGTACTCATCCAAATAACTGACGTGTCCGTGTCTGGAGAATACCTGGAAACTCTGAAAGGATAAGAAATGCCACCGGAACCGTTCAGCAAGACGTGAAATTGGGTGCCCTTTTGGGGTGAAATTATGATTGGAGCTAAAACACGTTTGATCTCGTATCGAGGCTCCATAACGGCATATTGGTACAAAACAGTCGCTATTAATGGAATTGTCAGATCATTCCGAGTAAACCATGGGCACCAATTCGTAGTGATCGATGATAATGCGGGTGCATATTGAGCTCAACGAGTCAATGCTGCTCTCCGAGAATACGACATCCCAAGGTAAAACTGACCTGCCGGCTCGTTTCACTTAAACCCAATAGAGCACGCGTGGAATGCTCTAAAGCGAGCCGGTTGGAACCGTCAACCACTTATCCGTACAGTACCAGAGACCACGGAAGCCGCTATGCAATAATAGGACAGGTTACTGCAAGAATTGCTGGATAAATCAATCCTCAGTATGCCCAGGAAGATCTGCGATGTGTTCGAGCCAGGGGAGGAGTTATATTGTATTAAATAAGAACCTGCCATTAATAAATTCTTGTATAATTTGGTATCAAATTTCTGTTACAATTACATTAGGTTTGAATTACTAAATTTTCGTTATTAAAACTAAAAAAGAGTTTTATATTATAATTTCAAACATTGTATTTCTATTTAAAAAAATATAGAGCGTACTTTTTCTTGATAAAATGTAATTTTAAATTATATCAGCTCAAAATCACAAACTTTTTTGATAGATCTGCTTGTCTCGCTTTTCCTAATTTAATTTTTAAATTAGGCAAATAAATGTTGCGTGCAATTTATGCGTAGAGCTTTAATCATAAGTGGGTTTATTTTTGGTCTCTTTATACTATGCCAAATAAGAAATAAGTGCACTCGTATCTTCTGATTTACTAAAACATAGATTACTATAAACACACAATAGAATGGCTGTCAACCTTATTTTGTACCGAGTTTCGGCGTCGCCGGGAGCACACATACAAGCAATTACGTCGTATTATCAGTTTATCACTACTACAAACCCGATTCGCAGTGTTGACAGACGGATTTTAATACATATTTATTTGTAAATAGCGTGCAATTTGGCATTTTCTAAATAATTTGCGTGCGAAATTTGGAAACGATTGTAACGTCAAACACACCTCGTGTTGACATTTATACGTGTTAGTGGCATTTTTGTGGCTACACGGGCTCCGCCCACACCTCCGTTCTATTATGTATGTATTATAGTATTCTATGTACTAAAAAATGACATCCCTATTGTAGTAGTTTCATGTGTGACGTTATTTCTGTTCTTTATTCTATAGTGATTTTGTTCCCAATGTTAGCAACAACCGACATCGATATACACGTTTTTGTTTATTTATTAGTTATTTAGTTTCGCATAATATGTATTAAAATTCATGGTGATGAGCTGTCACAAGTGTTTGATAAATTTTTTCCAAAAAATTTAATTTTTCAGCGTTTTATTCGTTTGAATCGCTGTTTTCTATTCTTCTTTTAAACTAATTTCTGTACCATGGAAGAGGGTAATGAGGAAGACAATGGTAACTTTGAGAATAGTGACCAAAGTGATTGTTAAGGTGTAAGCGATTGTGAACATGAGTCTGAAAATTCCAAATTTCTAGAGAAAAATAAGATGGAAACCCAACAAAAAATTAGGTCAGCGGAAAAAAGAAAAAAAAAACAACGGAGAACTGTGGAGAAGATAACAGTGAAGAGGGTTTTACAACAGTTACAAGAAGAAAACCAAAATGTCGTATAAGGAGTGATTTAACAAAAAGTGCCGACAATAATCAACTCATTGACGCATTGACAACGCCGTTAGAAATGCAACGCTTAGAAGAATATTATGAAGTTTGTATTACATCTTTGCAATGCCTTCCTAAACAAATAGGTTTGGCCAAATTACTTAAGTCAGTAAATATTATTAACGTTATGAAAATTCGGTATAAAAGCCCGTATAAGGTTTTGGTTCAATTCCAGAAGTTAGAAGATGCTTATCAGCTAATAAACTGTAAAAAGATTTTAGATTACGGTTATCATTGTCGTATGTGAATGAGACACACTTATCTTTTGGAGTTGTAAAAGGAATTGATATAGGAATTGAAGAACAAGAAATTTTAGAAAATTTGACCTCATCATGTGAAATTTCGTCTGTGAAAAGACTCAAACGCTTAGATATAAATGGTAAGTGGACAGAAAGCGAAACATTTCGTTTGACATTCAAAAGTGAACAGCCGCCTTCATACGTGTATGGATATGGATGCAGATTCAAGGTCGAAAACTATCACTTTCCAGTCACGAAATGTTCTGGATGCTGGAGTTTTGGACATTACGTAAAATTTTGTCCGAATAAAAAGATTTTATGTCCTAAGTGTGGAGACAGACATACAAATTGCGAAACTATTGAATACAAATGTGTAAACTGTAAAGGGGCACATATGGCACTTGATAAAGCATGCCCTATTTTTATTAAGGAAAAGAGTATTCGTAACATCATGAGTCAACAGAATTTTAGCTACAGAAAAGCACTGGATATTTACTTAAAACATACAAAACAAACTATGGATAGCTCTATCTATATATGGATAACATCTATGAACAAAGTACAAAAGGCTGATAAAGTACCAAGTGCTGATTATACGAAATCTTATAGAGATATACTTCTAACAAATAACTACATAAATCAAAACTTATCAGATACCGAAAGTGGAGAAGAGGATACCAGTAAAGAACAAGCAACTTACAAAAACATTAAAAATAAACATACTAAAAGAATTCCCAATTATAACGTTAAACATTCAATGCAAAAAAAGTCCATTGTTGCAACCGAGTCAGCTATATTAAATAATGAAGAAGTGGCAAGAATGGAAACTGACCTCTGTGCATGTACAGAACAACAAGAGGAGAAACAAAAGATGTCTAAGATATGGGTAATTATTAAAAGGGTAAAAGAAATAATAAATAAACGTTTAAATGCAGTTAGTGGATAATACTACAAAGAATTTTACGCTGACTGTACTCACATGCACATGCACAATGCACAAAGTATTAAGCCCAAAGTAGTTAATTTTGAATTCCTGTTGATACAAGAAAAAATACATATAGCAATTGTGAGTGAAACGTGGTTGGCTGAGAGTTCGCCTCTAGGAATAAGTGAATATAACATTTTTAGGAAAGATAGATGCGACTCATATGGTGGTGTGGCTATAATGACACATAAATCAATTAAGGCGCATCAATATTCAATAAACACAATCAATACTGGTTCAGAAGTAGTTTATGTCAAAATCTTTTTTGAGTGCTCCATGCCGGAAGTGCACTTCACACAGCGCTCGGTTCGCAAAGCACTCCTCTCCCTGGACATCCACAAGTCTATAATATATTCTCTCCTATTTTAAGATATTAATTATTTATAGTACCTAGGATCTGGTCTGACATCCACAAGTCGAGTGGGCCTGACGGAATCCCCCCAATTGTGCTGAGGACGTGTGCTCCAGAGTTGGCACCGGTTTTAACGCGTCTTTTCCGGTACTCCTACTCCCTAGGCGTAGTCCCAAAATCATGGAAGACGGCTTACGTCCACCCGATCCCTAAAAAAGGCGACCGCTCTGACCCGTCCAACTACCGGCCAATCGCCATCACCTCCTTGTTCTCCAAAACAATGGAGTCCATTGTAAACTGCCAGCTCATGAGGTACCTTGAAGATCACCAGCTGATTAGTGACCGCCAATACGGTTTTCGCCGTGGTCGGTCAGCTGGTGATCTTCTGGTCTACCTAACTCACAGATAGGCGGAGGCAGTAGAGTTCAAGGGGGAGGCATTGGCCGTTAGTTTGGATATTGCGAAGGCCTTCGATCGGGTTTGGCACAAAGCGCTTCTTTCGAAGCTCCCTTCCTATGGGCTTCCAGAGAAATTGTGCGATTGGATCACCAGCTTTCTTGCAGATCGGAGCATCAAGGTCGTTGTAGACGGAGCAAGCTCCGATTGCAAGCCTATTAATGCTGGTGTTCCACAGGGCTGCGTGCTATCGCCAACGCTGTTTCTTCTGCATATCAATGACATGTTGCATACCCGTAACATTCATTGCTATGCAGATGACAGCACTGGTGATGCTCTTTACACCGGCCGAGCCAATATTTCTCGGGAAAACGTCTCCGAGTGCCGGGACAAACTTGTGTCTGAAGTCGAGTCTCTGCTGGACAGAGTCTCGGATTGGGGGCGACTCAACCTAGTCCAGTTTAACCCCCAGAAGACACAAGTTTGCGCGTTAACCGCTAAAAAGAACCCCTTTGTCGTATCCCCTCAGTTTCAAGGCACTCCCCTTGTTGCCTCAGCCAGTATCGGAATCCTCGGCGTCGACATATCGAGTGACGTGCAGTTTCGTGGTCACTGGAAGGGAAGGCCAAATTGGCCTCTAAAAAGCTTGGCGTGCTCAGCAGAGCAGGACAGTATTTCATGCCGGCATACCGCCTGCAGCTTTACAAGGCGCAGGTTCGGCCGCACATGGAATACTGTTCCCATCTCTGGGCTGGGGCTCCCCAGTACCAGCTTCTTCCACTTGACCGCATCCAGCGCAGAGCGGCTCGAATCGTCGACGACCGAGTGCTTTCCGACCGGCTCGATTCACTGGCGCTGCGAAGAGATGTTGCATCTCTTTGCGTATTTTATCGCATCTATCACGGGGAGTGCTCTGAGGAATTGTTCGGATTAATCCCAGCCGCCATATTTCGTGAACGCACTACGCGGCAAACGTCCCGATACCATCCACACCATCTGGATGCTTGGCGGTCCACCACTGTACGTTTCACAAGGAGTTTTCTTCCACGTACAACCTCTCTGTGGAATAGTTTACCACCGGCGATTTTTCCGGATCGATACGACCTGGGGACCTTCAAGAAAAGAGCTTACTCCTTTCTAAAGGGCCGGCAACGCACCCGCAATTCTCCTGGTGTTGCGGTTGATCATGGGCGGCGGTAGTCACTTAACATCAGGTGAGCCGCATGCTCGTTTGCCCCTTCTTCTATATAAAAAAAATCAAAATCTTCAATTGTAAGTATCTTGAAAATGTTTTATCTATTTACTGCCCATCTTCTGTTAGAACATCTTCAACTGACTGGAATAACATATTCGCCCTTTGCCCACGTAAATGTGTCATTGGAGGAGATTTTAATGGGCATCACACCAACTGGTCTAATAAAATTGACACCAGAGGGGCACAATTATTAGACAGTTCCTTGGATTTCGGTTTCATATCAATAAATAATTAGTATATAGAAATGTCCCAATTCATAAATTAGTTAATGTTCTTGACAGACTTCGGGTTCGTTCAAAATTTTGTAAATTTATTTGGTCTTTTTTAACCGGAAGATATCTTGCTATAGAAAGGGAATCACATAAAGGGGAATTGAAAAGATAGGCCAGTAAGGGTTTGGCGCAGGGTGATCCTCTATCTCCCTTGTTATTTAACATTATTACACATAATATATGTAGACAAATACAAAATGTATCTATCGCTCAATATGCAGATGATTTTGTAATCTATTCGAGTTCAAAAAATCTTAAGGACTGTGAGTATAACATTCAGAATGCTTTAAACTTTATAATTACTTCACTTAATAAAATTGGCTTAGATATCGCCAAGACTAAGCTTATGATTTTAGTAGAGGTTTAAGACGTCAGGAAATTAAATTAGAACTATATGGAGAAAGAATAGAAGACAGACAAAATGCGATATTTGGGTATTTGGTTGGACCGATCAGTAAGATGGTCTAAACACATTAATGAAATTAGCCAAAAGATATTAAAATTTGTAAATATATTAACACGGAGTGGTTGGGGTATCCATCCGCAGCATTTACGTAGGTTATACTTATCACTTATAAGAAGCAGAATTGATTTCGGCTGTTTTTTATATGATATGAGTGCTAATAGAAACATTTGTAAATTTTAGATGAAATCCAAAATCAAGCACTTCGTATTATAGGAGGTTTTATCAAAAGTACACCATTACACGTTATGGAAAGTGAATTAAATATAACGCCTCTATATATTAGAAGAAAATTTTAACCATATAAATATTGTCTGAAAGGTAAATCTAGAACTAATAATATTACTATTAAACTATTAACAGAACTCAGCTTATTCTGTCAAGACAGGTCCTGGCAAAATAAAAAGAAACCACTTCTAGCAGTTATATTAGAACAAGTTAATAACAATATTGTGTATTCTTCGGATCCACTAGATATGTTCTCTTTATAAATACTTGGGCATCAAATATCAATGTTAAAAACGTAATTAAACAGGACTTAAATTGTATCAAAGGTGCTAAAAGATGTCAGGAGATAAATACTTTAAAGTCGAATGTACTAAATGAATTAAATGTTAATTATTTCAGATGGCACAAAATTTTCTGTGATGGATCCAAAGATAAATATGGTGTAGGTGCCGCTTATTTCGACTCATTGCTGGGTAATAAAAGTAAAATTAAAATTCCTAATAATATAACGATAATGTCAGCTAAATTAATTGCTATAAATGATGCCCTATTACACGTGGTACAACAAATTTTCAAAAAACTGTCATTCTAACTGATAGCAAGAGTGCTGAACATATTGCTCGATGCGTCTCTGGTCTCAGAGGTGTATCGATAGTATATTCGATATTAAATGAAATATTGAAACTTCAATGTAAAAACCGTGATATTTATATAACCGTGGTATTTATAGTTAAATATACGCGATAAAATCCGTTAAAACTAGTATTATTTCAATGTAAAAACCGTGAGTTAGTATTGCAGTGGGTACCGTCTCACATCGGTTTACAGGGCAATGAGGAGGCTGATAAGCTGGCGAAATTGGCAATCACCCAAGGAAGAGAATGTAATATTTATCCTGATTATTCAGAAATTTTAATTAAATATAAAGAGAAATGTTATACAATTTAGAAAGAATATTTTGATAAAAGATCGCAAGAAAAAGGGATTTGGTACAAAACCATCCAGAGTCAGCCTCCGAAAGTGCCTTGGTTTAATCAATGTCTGTTGAATAGAAAATATATTGTATTAGCAATACGACTTCGTTCCGGATACATTCCGTGTAACAAGTTTGCTTTCATGATGAAAAAGAAACAATCTCCAAATTGTGATACATGCAAAACAATAGAAGATGTACAACACTTGATCCCGGAATGTTCCAAAAATCATCATGAAAGGAAACTATTAGTTGCCAAAACTGATATTAAAATTTGTAACCTAGGGGAATATCAAAGTATTCTGTCTGAACCATTGTCTAATGCTGCTCAAATAGTATATAACTTAGTTAATATTTTGTGTAAATAATTTAAGAAATTGTGGTGTGTTATTTAGTTATAAGGTACTATGGAACTGACATGTTAAAAATAACCTAAGTCCCTAAATTAAAAAAAAAAAAGAATTAAAACATGTATTAAAATTAAAATAAAATGAGACTAGTCTTATTATCAATGCAGCGATAAATAAATTGTTTTCTAAATCAAGTGATGATGATTATATATTACATTACAGATATTCGTGTCGCTAACTTTAAAACCTATCGGTGATGTATGAATACTAAGTTTTGACAGTCACACTCTACCTACAAGTTAGATTCCATTTGTAATCCCAATTTTATATGCTGATTTACCACTTGCTCAACGGAAAATAAAACCATCGGGAAAGCTATATCTGCTTGAATGAAAATATTTCGAAATCATGAAGTGAAAGATGAATCTTGACAATGTGTAGCGGCGTAAACATTGATTATTAAGTACTTTAAAGGGTACTTTGTTATATGTTTACCGTTATTACTCCCTATTGAATCCATAATAAGGATAATTTGGTAGAAATACACCGGCTGAATTTAAGTAGTCTTTATAGTGACCTTTTCACGATATATTTTTAACTACCACGGTAGTGCGAAATTTCTGATTATTCAAGTACGTTTTTTCTTGTAAGATTTCAGATGAAGCTTCTGTT